AGGAGGAACTGATGAGGATATCAAAGAAAGGATCGGGAAAGCAAGACAAGCTTTCATTACTCTCAAGTCTGTGTGGAGATCAACACTCAGCACTCATTACGAAAAATAAGATGTGGATTTTCAACTCCAATGTGAAGTCATTGCTACCATACCAATTCGATACTTGGCACGTCATAAAGAGCACATCAAACAAACTTCAGACCTTCATCAACAGCTGTCTTCACTCGATACTACTGAAGACCAGATGGCCGGCCAGAAAAGATCAGCAATAGGGATCTCTGGCAATGGGCAAACCAACCAGGAACCGATTGTGAAACAAATAGGCATGTAGAAATGGAGACGGATCGGCCATACTCTGAGAAAACAAACCATCAAGTGACAGCACTAGACAAGCCATTGCTCGAGTGGAACCCGAAATGAAAGCGGCGAGTTGGTCGTCAGTGCAAGGGTGAAGAGGAGATGAAAGCATATGCGCAGACGTGGGGCCAGGTGAAAACTTTAGCAGAAAACCGAACGCAATGGAGACGTGCAGCTGAAGCCCTATGTTCCCTAGGAATTAAATTAATTTCCCTGAAGAAGTTCAGACCAGATTGCCGAACGAAATGTTGGAATTATTCATTTCAATCTCGCTGAGGTTTTACAAATAATAATATTATTTCAGAGATATTTTTTCTTATATGTGGTCGGATAAATTTTCTTATGGTCTTTGATGTTGGCTTGTTGTTGGTGTAGTAACACGGGTTTGAACCCTTTTTGATGAAATTGTGAGAATATCCCTTCTTTTTGAAGACAGTTGGTAAATTAACAACCAGTCACGACAGTAATTGACAGCAAATACAATCACATCATTTATGGAGAATTTAAATAAGTCCAATTTATACTAAAACCTACACTGAAGATGTTGTCAAGATGGGGCGGGTGAGGGGGTGATGAAAGCTTCACAATTAAATCAACCAGCTCAGAGAACAAAACTAATTCAATACGTACTATTATCATTGATAAAAGTGAAGGAGGTCAAAATGTCTAAGAAAAACATAAGTTACCAGGGGTTCTAGTGGGAAATCGTGACAGGTTCGGTGTGAGGATAAATACTAGCCGAAGACATTGGCTAGTGGTCGCGCTACGTCATGAATTGGCAGGACTTGGAATTTATGGGCCATTGGATATGGTCTGAGTGTCTTAATTGTTCACGAGCTCGCGTTGCAGCCAGAAGGTCCTGGGTTTGAACTCTGTTGGTGGGCGAATACTGCTGAAGATTACCAAATTAGAACGGAGGAAACAGCTGTTCAGTACTCCCAAGTTTTCCAATGGTTCTCTAAACCGTGTCAGTTCATAATGAAACCCTGTAACCAATCAATCAAATCCCTACAAACCAATACTTGAATAAACATAAAATTTAAACTTTGTGCCAATTGTTCTTAAGAACGTCGACTGTTCATTAATGTTCATGATTTAAACTAACTGTAATCGATGAATAAATTGAGCTGAAATTGTTAAAAATTAATGACTAGCTATCTATTTATTTTTTTTATTTTTATTTTTGATTACAGCTTGATTCCACACCGTATTTTTGGTACAAGTGTGGAATTTTCAGCGTGGATATCGGTAGCCCAAAATTCGCAGGCCGACCATAGATATCAGGTGTGCGTCGGCGTGGGCTCGAACCTCGGACCATGTGCATGGTCGGCGAGAGTCCTAACCACTGTGCTGTTTACCTCCAACCATCTAATAACAAAAAGCAGATTGTAGTATGTTGGTGAGTGGCCAGCCTAGGTGGCTGGCATGCTGGCCACTGTCTGCACCAAGCAAGGATTAGACATATGACACGACAACTTAGAGTTCAATCAAAGTATAATTCTTGAAGTATAATCGTTGAATATTTCTATTGCATTTCATAGGTAAAAGTCATTTTCAAATAGTTTCGATTTTATTATCATTCTACGTGTGTTCATTTCATTTTTGCATGTTGTTCTGAAGTATAGAAATATGAACTGATGGACATCTGGGACAGATTTTTGTTGTTCTAATTCCACTTTATTCTCCAGAAGAAATAGAGTATTGAACAACCTCAACTTAACTATACTTTGCATTATGCAGTCACCGTAGTCTTGAGAACACTTACAGCTAGTCAGCCTAGACCTCCTCATTTGATTCAAACTAACAGGGCTACTGATAAGATTTATCAGTAGTATGAAAACGAAACGTTCATTTACACTAAAATAATTTCAAGTTCAAGTAGTTCAGAAAGTGCTTTCAAGTCAAAGAGAGAAGAAATGAACCAACCAGTACATTGCGGTTAAACCTTGTGAGACACGAGAAGAAGACAAAGAAAGAGAATAAGCGAATGGCTGAATTAGTTAGCACAACAATGAATGGGAACGTTGCTTCGCGATCACTGATATGAACTCTACAGTTTGACATGCCTACGATGTTTAATACATGTTTAACTATCGTTCGGATAGTCAATGAATATGGTCTGACACTGTGACACAGATTCTTATGTATTAGTAAAACTGCTGTCCCTGTATCTATTAAACATAGTACTTTTTGGTCATAGACTCGCAATTAAGAATACATGCGCCCCCCCTCATCTCAATAGCCCCCTACTTCTAATCATACAGGAGGGAAAGAACACACATTATAGTTGAATAAGCCATTAAGAAGACAAATTTCGCGAGATGATATCATTTCGTAGTTTCGTTACAACCACTTTACAACTAACATGGTTAATAATGATAAAATAAAGTTCATGACAATTACTCAGTTATATAAAAAACAAAAGTGCATACTACTAATGACCAATCGTATTTAGATAGGTCATGTAGTCCAGGGTAGGCGAAGATTAGGCTGTATGTGATTAATGCTACAAAGTGCTTCCATCACCTTCAGTAACCAGCCCTGAATTAGAGTTATGTGAAATAATTGTGAAACAGTTATTAGTATTTATTTTGTGACCAGACATTAATAAGTGTTTTGCAATGGATGATGCTGGATTTCTATTAAGATTAGTCGCGTTAGGATTTTCGATATGATTTGTTAGCCATTTTGGAACACATTATACTGTCTGAGGTTTTCTATTTTTCATCTTTCTGGACAGTAAATGCCTCCTCCAGTGTCCTGCCTTGCCACATTCAAAGCAGTGGTCTTCTCTGTCATTCATTCGTAGTGCCTCTACTTCATGCTGCAAATCTTAACTCTCTGTTCCTTATCGTTCGATTCCGGTGACTCTATTTAGGCTCCTGTTGTGTTCAACATGTTTACACATGTACATGGGCTATGCAACGTTAAACAGTTGTGGTTGCTGAGAAATGCGGTCCGGAACACTTTCGATTAACTGGAAAGTCAATAATCGTGACCCTAAATCCTCTTACAATGTAGGGAGTGTGCGGCGACTTGGAAGATTCTTCATCTTCATTGCCAGCACTAATGGTTCTCCAACAGGTCCCAGTTTCATGGCACAGCACTACTTTAGTGCCAGGTACCTGCCCGTCAGGCTGTCTCACTCCACCACGAGTTATCCAAAGAATATCCTCAAGGTCTCTTTATCACCTGACCGCTCCACACTGTTGTTCACGGCCTTTTTCACCAACTTTGACACCTACCAACTCTGCGAAGGCAACGAAGCCCCTAGCGAAGCTTCTGTTGTCTCTTTCCTTGACGCAGCAGGTTATGGGATCTTTATTTTCTGGAGGCAGCTATATAAAATGTGACGGCAGAAGACAATGTTTACTTGATATCTCTCTTACTTAAAGAAATTATTGAACATCTTATGTGAAAATCGTTATTTGCACAGATCTCCCGTCCTGTGCACTACTTCTACCCTTCACATATTCTCTTTCTTTGTCTTCCTTTCGTGCCTCCTCGTTCATGGTTTATTTCCTCTCTCTGTGATGTGAAATCTATTTCTCCGCTATTTAATATTTTTGTGCCGATGAACTTCTCTACTTTTATACCAGTGGTAAATCTTTTCTCCAGTAGCCTACATCACAAATTCATGGAATGATGCTATGTCCTGATCTTAAATCAGATTTCAACCATCCATTTCAACTAAGTAACCAACTGATTAGAGTTCCAACAATCGTCTGTTGAAGTTTTGGTTTGCAGGCATTTGATTGGTTACAGAATTTCATCATGAGCTGAAATCGGTTAGAGAACCATTGAAAAACCTGCAGGGATTACTGGACACCTGTTTCGTCCTAGTTTTGAACTTTTCACAGCACACACCCACCGGGATTCGAATTCAGGACCTTCTGGTTACAAGGCGAGCTAGCTCGTAGACCATTAAGCCACTGGGACCCGATCCAATCGCCAGTCCATGAATTCTAACTTTTTCCAATTCACGACATAGCGCGACCACTAGCCAATGTCATAGCTGGCGAGTATTTGTCCTCACACCCTACCTGTTGCACTCTACTGGTTACAACTTCTTTTCCAATGGTTCTATAACCAATGAAATTCTGTAACCAATCGTCTATTGATTGTATAATAAGGTGAGTCGATGGTTCAGCGGTAGAAAGCTCGCGTCAACCACACCTTACATGCTCCGAAATTCGATCTCCTGCCGACGGATGCCCTCGTGGCTAAACCTAGTTAAGCCGGTAGTAAGGCCAGTGGTAAAGACGGAATGTCAGCCTAGCTGAACCTAACAGCCTCACCCTGTAAAAATAAAAATAAAATCATTTCTACTGAAACTTCAAAGCTTGGGGCTTGAACTTTTCAAGTTCCACTTGAAAAAGTGAAGAAATAAAATAATAATAATACATAAATTATAATAAATTGATGCATAAGTTCCAGAAATTAAATGAAAAGAAGAAATAAATTATTGAAAGTCAAATCACTCAAATGATTTCAGTGGATTCCAGTAAATAATCGCATAAATTAATAATCAAAATAATATAGAGAAATAAGGATGGGGAAACTGAAAGATACCATAACTAATTGTTTCTACTTTTGCTGTTACATCATAAAGATTTACTGGATGTCGGATAGTTGTCATAAATCCGTCGGTTTGACTTAATGAACATTTCCCAGTGGTGTAGGCAAAGCACCAAATACTACCGTTGTATCGGCTGTAATTGCTGTCTCTTCAGAATCCTCGCCAGTATCTCTTGAGTAGTTAAGAAGTCGTCTGAATAATTTATGTGAGTTGGATACTCCTTGATTTGGTAATATTTCCGCCTTGTTTAAACATTCTTTATTTTGTTGATTATGAGGATTAGAATAATAATGAGAACAGTGGTCACCGAGTAAATTTTTCCCGTTAAGAAGTTGTTGAGAAGACGACAATTGTGCATGCGAAGCAGTGTGCTGAAACACTTTCTTATCATCCTGATGATGAATATGTTTTCTACACAATGATGGCGGTGATAATTCATCTCTAACTGGTGATAATCCCATTCTTTCATTCGTCAGTCTGGAAGTATGAATCGAAGAGTCAGACCATGAATTCGACAGTCCAACTTTTTTACTTTTTACCTTCACAGTTTGTACTGCCACTTCACGAGAATGAGGAGGTTTATTCGTCAGCTGTGGTACTGATGAGATATTATACATCCCTTGTGGATCATTTTCTAATAATCGCCTTAACACTCGACTTTTTGCATTTACATTACACTTCCGACGTCTGAGAAATATGGCGAACATTTCCCAATTCGCAAGAAAATTCATTCAATTAGCATGATTTATCCGGCTATCAGAAAAATGGAATTTCCCTTTGAAAGGTGGCTTAAATTTACCTTTTCTTATATATGAACATTATTCATGTTAAAGTATAGCTGGTTATTTATTGCGACGCAAGTGTATAGTGTATATTCTCCATTATTTATCACATAAATGCTTACCAGTTTAAAATGTACATCAAAAGTCACCTGATGGTGAATCGATAATTCATTACCAAATGACCTTGAGATGTTGATTATGATGAATGTTGTTTTAGTATTTCCCATTGAATGAAAAGATGAAAAAAACCAAAATGTTACTGCTGTTTTCTCACTGAGGTCCCTCTATTTCAAGTACTACTAGTAACTTTATCAAAGTAGCTATATTAAACAAGAATTTACAAATTCCACTCAGTTTATGTAATGCATTTAACAACTTAATCATCGTTCATCAGAATGAGGTGATTCTGTTTATGCTGTTGTTGTTGTTGTTGTCAAGTTGGCCAATCGATAAAGATAACGAAGCCAAGTGTGTGTGTAGATTCTGTGCGTCGGTGGCACAGTGGTTAGGATTCTCGCCGACCATGCACATGGTCCGGGGTTCGAGCCCACGCCGACGCACACCTGACATCTATGGTCGGCCTGCGAAATTTGGGCTACCGATATCCATGCTGAAAATTGCATACTTGTACCAAAAATACAGTGTGGAATCAAGCTGCAAATCAAAAAAAAAATTCGATAAGCATATAAGTTTGGGGGAGACTGGTGAACTCAACCCCATAGTCGCTGATTTTTTCATGAATACATTTGAAGGTAGCACCTTTCTAAACATACTCACACCTAAAGTATGGCAAAAACACGTTGAGGACACTTTTGTTGAGCTAAAACGAGATTTATACAGATTATTCTTGGAGAAACCTCTGCTGAGATCCTAAAGAGCCGTTTATCCAGATCACTGAGAAAAGACTTCTTTTCGGTTGAGCTACGGATCAGTTTTGACAGCCGACAAGTGGACAGTGGATCTGTGAAGGAAAAACTATCGCTTTGAGCCACATAAATGAGTGTTTATAATTTCACTTGTTCCTGCGGAGCTGGTTATACTGGCTGCACAAATCGAACGCTTTCCAAATGCATCTCTGAACATTATGCGGCATGGTTAGCAAAAGGACAATGCAAGACAGTTAATTACTAGCTCAATTCTCGAGCACTTGGTGAACTCAAGCCATGCATCTACACGGTAAGAACAAGTGGTGCAAAAGGTGTTAGGTTTCGGTATTTGTGTATGGCGAAGGCGCTGGCAATTCATCAACACAACCCAGAACTCTGTATATACAGAAGAAGTTTGTCCAGTCTCTTATTCTACCATGGTTTTAACCTCTTCACTAGTCATTCCCTGTGAAAAATTTACTTTCAGTTTGCTTTCGATTTAAAAATTAATTCACTATTATCACTCTCACATGTTCCTTTCGTCCATATTCACAGCCTCTTCACACTTGTTACGTGGACACTGAACTACCACCTTTCTTCTCACTCAATAAACGTTTTAACCTTATGAAATTTAAAACCCTTTCTTCCTTTTTGCCGTTGAGTACTACGTAATTTATGACTTTTATTTTCTTTACTTTTAAGACTTTACTTTTTAAAATAGACTACTATACATTTCTGGTAAATATAAATACGACTGTACAGCCTCTGAAGACGATTTCGGCGATAAAGAAAATTTTCTTCAATGAATTTTATTTTATTTCATTTCAAAAATTCACAGTCACTCTCCTGGTATCCAGATCACACTAGGGGAAGAACAATTAAACTCCACTGACCTAATTTTTCTTTCTAGACTGCCAAGCCAATAGGAAAGAAAACGCATATTTCAATGCATCCATATTCAGGAAGCGAAAACACTCCGACAAATTTCTAGACTTTGGATCATCACACTCCATCAGTGCGAAGGTATCAGTTGTTTCAAGTTTTCCTAGACGAACGCACTCTTTGATGTTAACTGATGAGAAGGAAAGAAAGAAGAAGAAGAGGAAATATAAACACTGCTGGGATTCCCAAGAAAAATAACTACCCGGAGAAATTCATTAACAAAATCAACCTCAACAACAACAACAGTGAATATGATCGAAAACGTATTCCGAAGACATGGATACACCTCATTAGTTGTCATTCCATATAGATCAGTAACGTTAGACAATATGAGAATAGGGTTCAATTAACACGACGTCAAGGTTATCTTCAAAACATCAGACACACACACACACTACAAAGCAACCTTGTCCATGTAAAAGACTAGATTCCGGAGGGTTGTGAATCTAGTTGTGTCTATAAAATAAAATGTTTGGAATATGATGCGATAAACAACCCTTGCGAAAACGTTTTGGAACGTATATAGTTTCTGATTCATTTCAGTTTGTCAAGCAGATTAGTGATTTTAATGTATCTGGCAAGCATCTGGTCTCTTTTGATGTTACCTCCCTGTACACAAATGTGCCAGTCGTTGAGACTATTGACTTTATATGTAGAGAAGCCGAAGACATACACATTCCAAAATAAGAATTTAGGAAATTGTTACTTTTGTGTAATAAAAATGTTCATTTCCAATTCGATGGGCTTCTATTCCATCTAGTTGATGGTGTCGCAACAGGAAGCCCCTTGTGACCACTTTTTGCAGATTTTTTCTTACCAGACCTAGAAACCGGTACCTTGCAGAAACATACACAAAAAACGGATGTATACCTAAGATATGTTGGTGATATTTTTATTGTCTGTGGAAAAAGATTAAAAGCTGATGACATGTTGATAAAATTCAACTCATGACATCCGAATCTCAGCGTCACAACGGAACACTACGAAAATGGTACTATTAAATTCCTAGACGGACTGTTGGCACAATCGAAAGATCTATATTGTTTGTTTGTTTTGTTTTGTTTTTGATTACAGCTTGATTCCACACTGTATTTTTGGTACAAGTATGCAATTTTCAGCATGGATATCGGTAGCCCAAATTTCGCAGGCCGACCATAGATATCAGGTGTGCGTCGGCGTGGGCTCGAACCCCGGACCATGTGCATGGTCGGCGAGAGTCCTAACCACTGTGCCACCGATGGGACTGTACATGCATTTCAAGAGCTTTGTTCCAATCCAGTATATAAAGGACTAAGACAGGACACTGTTCCAAAGAAACCAGCCCCTGTAAAACCTTCCAAACAGTACCGAAGAAATCTGTCTATATCAAATTTTCCACTCAAAGGAGATGATATCTACAAGAAGTACTCAAACGAAGACTCGATAAAGATATCAAGAAAACTTATAAAGCTACAAAATTCATCTTCCTTAACACCACTAAACGAGTACTTCAACAATCTGAGAAAGATCAGTTGCCAATCCTCGACACTTCAAATTGCGTATACCAATCTGAGTGTGTTTGTGGAAGCAAATACATAAGTCGTACAGAAAGGCGATTGTCTACTCGCATGATGAAGCATTTGCCAAAATGGTTTGAAATAGCTGAATGTAAAGTGCCAAAACCTCAGTAACAAAACATCTTGTGGATTATGGACAAGATATCGACGCTATCAGTCAAGTCATTCACTGTTGTCAGCAGACAAAGAAACAGGAAGATGCTTTTAATTGTGGAGGCTTGTGCAATTCGAGTTTATAAACCAGGTCCCTGTGTACAAAACGAGATGGTCGTGACTCTGAATCTACCGGGGTAATACGTTTTACTTATTATTATTATCACCATTCTTGATTCACTTAGAACTATCCTTTATCAGTAGGATTGTCTGAACTCACTTCAACACTATTATTATTATTATTATTGTTCTTATAACTATTACTATTGATATTACTCTGTTTGCATTTCTTGTTATATTCTCTAATGCCTAATTGTTTATCTAAGTAATGTAATTGAAGCGTAATGCATTTAATTTTAATCTCTCATACTACCTCTCCCCTTATCTATTTGAATATGACATGGAAAACATTCGCACGTGTCTTTCTGCATGACTAATTCAATGTGGTTTATTTGCTCACTTATCAGTCTTTTATTTCCCAATGTAATTTCTAAAGTATGCATATATCCGTGTATGTAGAGTAGTATTCAGTTAGGGAAGAGTTCTACCGAAATTTGTTGAATTCATTAAATCCTGCTTTATTAACCTTTACTGCTTGTTTTAAAACTGTCAAGGTTGGCCCATCGGCTTATGTACGACAGAATGCTATTTATTGTATGCGTTAAACTTGGGCGCTGTGATAGCATGTAATTACACATTATTGCTGAAGAGTCCCAAACTAGGACGAAACACCTGTCCAGTACCCCCTGGTTTTTACAACAGTTCTCTAACCAATATCTGATATGGCAAACAATTAAACGGTGTTATTACTGTTTCGTACACTATTGTTCATCATCATATAAGTTGCAATAGTGTAATAGATGATGAGAATTACTCACTGTATCGTTATTTATTTCAGATGCCCGTTAAGAATTTCCAAAGATTGACTACTGAACAAAGAATATGTATCATGATTACTGTTTTGGAATAAAACAAAGCATTATCCACTGTTATTATTGACCTGGCCAATGTGTACACAAAAACACCACATCCATCCTCTTTGTTTACACTGGCCTACTGTAAGGAGGACCATCAAGGCCATAATCATATCATATTATGCCTTTCTCATACCTTTTCATCACCTTATTTACTTCATTCCATTATTATCAGCCGTATTATGTGTATCAGCCTTTGTAATTTATGCCAAAGCTTATAAAACGGTCAAAGGCGTTTACTGAAATACGCTGAGGCTATAGCTATTCATAGTTTAAGCCCCCTTGCGTATTCAACAGGAGTTTGTTATTACTCTTAACCTACCTTGGTAATCCTTATTTGATTGAATTAGCAAACGTCTGTGTTAATTATTCCTAAATCTTTTTTTTGTCACTTCGTTTAATTTAACTTTTAAGATCACAATATTCAGCAAAGAGACTCTTTCCAACAACGAATTCATCATCAAGCTGAACAGTCGTATATGTACGTGTGGTTTTTAAGAAATTATAATCATGGTTAATAAACGTTGGAAAGGTATACATAATATATATATAATTTAACTTTTTCATATATATCGACTTGACAAGTAAGTGTGTGATCAGATTGTTC